GGATTTTAATACTACCGCCTCCTGGCGATTGCATGGCTGCGTGGGTTGGTGGGTTGGGATGATCGTGGGGATGGCGTTATCGGCGGTAAGAGGGGTGGTTTTGCGGGAGACTAAATGGCCTTTAGGGTATACCAGACATGCTATCGTAACTTTATCTTAGAGGAGACTCGGTGTGTGTGTGTGTGTATGGATGAGTGGATGATGTTGGGGGGAGGTTCACCGCTTGATGCGTGTGTGCTGGTGTTGGATTTGCCAACTAAGGTAGCCTTCCTGTACTGGGACGAGTCCGTCATGCCCTCCATAGGACATTGTGATTCCCACCGTGTGAGAGGGGGGGGTTTGCGGAACCCGGATATTTTCGAATCTGATGGATGTGACGCGCAATGCTTTTGCTGCGTTGTGGGGGTGTCGAGGGCGCAGTTCATATAACCATGGAATTAGCGCTGCGTGAACTTGTATTTAGCATAGGGTTAGGCTATACCAAGCTCTACTAGCTAGCTAAGCAAGGTTAACTAAATATTATACTATAAGATTTTATAATATATTCTAAACCTATTCTAAATATATTCTATACTAGTAATACTATAAGCTACTACTACTATACCTATTACTAACGTATCCTTTATATCCTATATAAGTAGATTAAAATATATTTAGAATATATTCTTAATAGGTTATAGAAGCACTATTAATAGTACCTTACCCTTAGCTACGTCCTAGATAATATTAAGGTATAGCCTATAGTTAGCCCTAATAGGGTAGTTAAGATAGAGAGTAGAGAGCGCTACTACTATACTAAGATTAATAATAAGGGCACCTTATATAGAGTAAGAATAGGTTCTAAATATATTCTAAATAGGTTCTAATATTCTTAGGCTATTCTAGGTACTAGGGGCACTCTATATACCTATACTAAAAAAGATTATAAGTTTAATATAGCCTACTATAAGGTTAGTAGGGTTAAGAAGACTAGCTAGCTCTCTATAATAGAGGTCTATAAGGTAAAGAGTAAATATATTATTAACCTATTCTTAACTTATTATACTAATATATATAGACTTCTATATAAAGGTTATATATAATTACTAAAATACTCCTTACTATAAGTTATTTAGAATATATTTAAAACTTATTACTAATATATTTTATAGAAGTTCTCTAAGCCTAGCTAGTAGCTACTATAGGCCCCCCTATAAATACTAATACCCTCCTAAATATAATTTAGAAGAAGACTTATACTAGCTATAATAATAATAAGGTATAGCCTGCAAGAACCTATTAAAAACACGTTACTAACTTGTTATAGCTTAACTTTATTACTATATCTACCCTACTAAGGATTTAAGGTTATTAGGTTCCTTATACTATCTACGCTTATAATTATCTAAGCTATAGTAAGTTATTTATAATATATTATTAACCTATTCCTAATATATTTTAAGACTATTACTTTAATACTAGTATAGACCTTACTAATTCCTACTAGAATGCTACCTAGTTCTACTTGTAGTATGCTTTTATAGAGCCTAGGGAGGATAGGGAGGATAAAGAAGATACTAGAGAGGGAGAGGGAGATAATAATAGTAATAAGTAGGAACACGTTAAGAACATGTTAAGAATAGGTTCTAATAAATAATATATAATAGTATATAACCTAAAGGGGTAGTAGTAATTACTAAAATAAACTCTCTACTCTTCTCTTTTTTTTTTTTCTATCTACTAAAAGTAAAGTACTATTTACTTTTATAGGGTCCTTTAATACTATATAACTTTTTCTTTTTACTTTTATAGGTATTATAAAGCTCTAGTAGTCCCTTAGATTAAAGAAGAATCTAGTATTTATAGGTGTCTAGCTATAATATATTATTAATATATTCTAAATATATTTTAAGAGACTAGACTTATATCTCCTTTTTGCTACTTTTGCTAAATATTATTTATAGTGTAAAGGGGAGTAACTATTTACTCCTCTTCTTTACTCTCTACTTCCTCTTTAGCCTCTACTCTAGCTACTACTTCTTATTATAGACTAGCTATCTTAGAGGGTTCTTAAACCTTAGAGAAGGCACTTAGTATAGTCTACTCTACTAGCAAAGAACGTATTATTAACGTGTTTAGAATATATTCTTAAGTATTTACTATTAAGCTCCTATAGAAGATCCTTACTTCTATAATACCTTATATTGTAGTTCTACTATAGTTTACTAGGGCTATTTAAACCTTAGGATAATACCTCTTAAGGTAGTAGATAAGATTGCCTCTATTAGAGAAGCAACACTAAAATAGTTATTAATATATTATAAATATATTCTAACTTGCAAATATATATACTCTATAAAGTTCCTATACCCCTAATCTAGCCTAAATAGCCTAGTAGAAAAGCTTGCTAGGAAATACTATACACCTATTATTTAGGTAGGATATTATAGGAGAGAATACCCTAGTATTAGATAGAAGTAACTTAAGCTTAATATATCGCTAGTATAAATCCTACTTAGTATTAGAACAAGTTTATAATATATTCCTAACGCGTTCTATTATATACTAACTTTAAAAGATCTTTATAGACTATATTAACTAGTTATATCTAATAATATTAAGAAAGATAGATAGTAAAATAGTATTAAACTCTTAAATATAAAAAGTTCTTATAGAGTGTAAGAAGAAAGAAGAAGAAAGAGAAGAAGAAAGAATATATATTTATCTACTTATATATACTTATATAATAGACTAGAATATATTAAGAACTAGTTAGGAACTAGTTACTATATTTATAGACTAACCCTACCTTATATAAAAAGTAGCTATCTCTTTCTTAAGTTTAAACTATGCCTTTTATAATTTAAATAGTGCCTTTTTCTATATAAGTTCTTCCTTATCTACCTCTAGCTTTTCTTTTCTCTCCTTTAGAGCCTAATTACTAAGAAGAGCCTTTTATTATAAAGTTTATAATTATAGACTAATAATAAGTTAGGAATATATTATAAACTTGTTTTGCAAAGTATACCTTTAGGTTACTATTAGTAGAGGAGAAGAGCCTAGTAGTAGAGAAGATAGAAAAGGGGCTAGTAAACTTCTTTCTAATACTACTCTACTACTTGCCCTCTAGCTTTAGGCTTTTAAGCGTGCTCTTTTATTTCTTATTAAGACTAAGATATATCTAGTTAAGTTAGATATAGTAAGACTTGCTTTATTATTATCTAGAGTATTATTATTATTATAGGACATATTCTAAACACGTTCTAAACACGTTTTAATTAGCAAATATACATAACGCTAGCGTAAGACTTACTTTCTCCCCTCTAAAGCTTTTTAAGGTACCTTTACTTAAGCCTATTAGGAGTTCTATAGTTATAGCGTATTCTAAACTTGCTCTAGGCTTTAAACTCTTTTATATCCTATAGATCTATCTAGTATACACTATATAATATTACTTATACAATTCTAATAGGTTAAGAATAGGTTATAAACTTACTTTTAAGTGGCCTTAAGAATACTTATATACTTACTAGTTTTATATCCTTTCTAGCCTACTTGCTTAGCTATATTTAAATAAGATTCTAGTTTTTCCTATACCTCTTTTAATATTTTACTATAGTATTATATAATCCTAGTAGTAATTACTAGGTTTTTCTTATAGATTGCCTAGTTTTAGGCATCTTTAGAGGGTTTGTATTCTAATTATATAAGAATAAGTTAGGAACACGTTTAGAATAGGTTTAGAATATATTTACTTACGTAAGAGGAGGTTAGCAAGCTAAAAGTATTCCTCTACTATTAATACCTATAGTAATTTACTTAGATATAAAGAGGTAGTATTATCTAGCTCTCTTTTATATACTTTATAAATACTTCTTTATAGATATACTTAACAAAATCTTATATAAGATTAAAGTTACTAGTGCTAGTTACGCTTGTAAGGATTAATTAACTAGAGATAGCGCCTAAGTCCTAGAAATAAGTTAGAAACACGTTACAAACAGGTTATAGTGCGCTATAAAACTTACCTATTATCTACTTGTTATATATATTAATAGTAGTCCTATAGAATCCCTATAAGTAAATATACCTTTATAATACTTATCTTTTTGTAAGTGCTTTACACTTCTAAAAGAAGTTTGTAACAACTTAGGTAGGTAGGGCATCCAAAAGGTATCCTATACGACTCAAAGGCATATGGGAGTGCGCGTCTGTACAGAAAAGGATAAGATTCCTACACCTATAGGTCTTGTACGAAAGGACAAGAAGAATATGCCTATCCTAACTATAGGCGAGCTATTCTCTATATATATTAGTAAGTCAGGCCTTTATTAGGCCTAACTTAGCATAGAATAATAGGCAGGTAATTCTGCCTTATTATTACACTACCCCCTCCTGTAGAGAAAGGATAGTCCCTATCCTTAGGATTAGGTTTAGATCCCTTATTAAAGAAGAGCTTTTTGCAAATAATTCTACCTTTACCTCTACCTTTACCTTTACTTCTTCTTCCTAGGGCATGGACCCCTATCCTTAGCCTGCCTATAACTAGCCCTCTACCTACTAACTTTCTTATTCCTATATCCCTAATTTTTTAATTATTTAACCTAATCTATCTAAAATTTAGTAAGTATTTAATCTATATAATTAAATAGTTGCTAATCTAAATTAGAACCTTTAGCTATACTAGTACTAGTACTACTAGAAGTCCTACCTATTGCTTATCGCGCTCTCTATATAAGAGTAGTTAGGGCTCTAGCTAGGGGCAGGTTTAATAATTTTAATTTTAAGTTAAAGAATTCTAAGAAGTGCTAGTACTATATCTCCTAGAATAAGTATTGTAATCTAGTAAGTATCTAAGTCTAATAGGGTTCCTTTACTAATCCTAGTAGATTCCTTCTTTTATTAGCTAAGAGTACTCTACCCTTAGGGGTGCTCTAGAAGAATACTACAGTCTAATTAGAAACCCTACTAAAGGGGATAAGGATAACAAAGCTATAGTTACCTATTAGAAGGATGTTAAGCAGTTTAAGGCTACTATTTAAGAAACTACCTAAAACCTAGCTAAGTGCGTTACTATTACTAATACTTAGACTAAGGGTATAGAGGCTACTAAAATCCTTATAGCTACCTATTATACTACTATATCTAATTTACGTTAGCTTTAGAATAGTATCTATAAGATAGTCTTAGTAGTTAAGGGCTTAATAAGGGCTATTAAAGAACTTAAGGAGGAATTAGCGCTAAATTAGGAGGTAACTTTCCTAGTCTAGGCTAAGATAAAGGCGTTCTATAAGAAGGAGTCTAAATTAGTCCTAGCTCCTGTCCCTGCTTCTACACCTGCTCTAATTCCTGCTACACTAGTTATCTAGAAGCTAGCAAAGAAGGATAG